TCACTGAAAAAGTAGTAATGTTAAAATTAAATAAAACATTATCAATAATAATTATGCGATTGCACCTATCCGTAAAACAAGCAAGCAAAAAAAAAAGAATTCTTACGGAAAGTTACACTTTACGATATAATGTTTTAATGTTAAAGGCAAACCCCATTTAAACACAAAACTTTTTAATACCTACTACTGTATCTAAAAGACTTTTTTTTTAAATTATTAAATTCTTAGCCACGCTTCTGTTTTTCTTGGCTGTTGTGCGTCACGTCACAGATTAACAGGCCAACGTTTGCACCACAACGCGATGCTGCAGACCACTAGGTAGACCGGTCGTAGAAATTTATGTTATACAACTTGTAGTCAATCTACACAAATATTATCAAAAACTTTTTTTCTTTTAAAACGTGTTCAGATTTTGTAAAAAGTATAAGTCAAAATCGCAAAACTTAAATTTGATATGAGTTTCTTAGTTTTTAACTAATATAGTGGCGAATTACAAAAATTCCTTTTCAATGAAAATTAATGAGTTAAATAAGATAATTTAATAAATTACTAGCTTTTTCGCGCGACTACGTTCGCGTTACACCTCGAATCGTTCATGCATTGATTTAAATGATTTTTTACTTCTTTATAGCTAGTGAGCATAGATGTTTTTTATTTTTCATCTTTTTTTTTATTTATTAAGGGCACTAGTACTCTCTTTATAGGTTATTTTTTATTCTTTGAAGGATAATTGAGGAAGATATATTTCGTTATGATGTCACTAAATAAACCCTTGTATAAAATTTTATACTGTCTGGTTTATAATGTTATAATATTGCATTTTCGTACAGCAAATTTTCATTCCCTATTCTACTCCCTAAGGGTATAAATTTCATAATTCGCTTTACCTTTTGTGCCCATTTTTATGTGTATAATCCAGAGGTCACCAAGTTTTATATAAATTTTTACTAACTTTACCCATTTGGTTGATGAATTTCAAAAATTTCTTCTAATTCTTTTTGTAGGATTTCATTCTTTTAGACCAAATAGTAAGGAATTTTCATACAACAAACTGTTCCGAGATAATTTTACCCTCTAAGAGGATGAATTTCCTAAAATCGCTTTGTGTAGCTAATTCACTAATGTCGTTTAAACGAACCTTTGTACTAATATTTATGTATGTAAAGCTGGCGGCATGAATTCACTCCAAAATATCTAAAAACGTAATATATAATCTAACTGACACACCACTGACAATCACAAATAATTTATTTCTGGAGGTATTGTGTGTAGGTGCTTTTCAGGTATGTTTTAGTATGTAGTCGTTTTACACAAAGAAATAGCCATTAAGCACTATAAAAATACTTCATAACAAATCTACACATATATACCTTTCATTTAAAAAAAGAATCATCAAGATTGGTAAAAGCGGTTTCGGCAGGATGGGTGCAACAAAAAAAACCCTTTGAGCTTTTATATATGTATGGATTAATTATTTTTCCAACATATTTTACTTTGCAAATTTTTATAAATATTCAGACTCGCCAATATCGTACTCCACCGTGTCCAGCCTGTTTAGCCAAACGTAGGCCGATTCCTCTTCGGCGGCGTCGTGACCCTGGCCGAGGAAGAGTCTTGAAGGCGCTCATCCGCGCATAGGAATAAGTTGACTGCGTAGCGTATTGCGTATTAATCGATTCTGAAACTTTCTATCTCGTGTATAACATGTTACGCAAGTTTATTATTTTAATCTCGATTTTAATAGATAAATGTGTGAAATGCCACCTGAATATCTTCCGCCATGACATGTTTTTACTTTTTTGTTATGGTAAAGTGATTTGTATAAACTTTATTCAATAACGTATATTTTCCTCCATTTGTGATTTTTTAATTTTAAGCGAAAATTAAGTATAACATTTAAGGAAAAAGAAACACTGTAATATTGAAAAGAATAAGAAGAAATTAGTCTTATTACCAATAAGAAGAAATTAGTCTTATTATCAAACCAAACCAAACCAAACTACTTATCGGATAACAAATTAATTACTACTGTCAGCTAGTTCAGCTACTGTCTAGGTAGAATATACCTAGAGTACCTACACCTACCTATGATGTAGGTAGATTAAAGCTTATTTTGACGTTACCTCTCACTTCGGTGTCACAAGCTGAATTTTTCAGGGATGGAAGTACAGTACATGATATGGGGACCCTTATTCCGAAAGTAGTACAAAATTAGACCGGGTAAAAGGGCACTATCATCAAAAATCGATATATTAATACCACCGTATAGAGAAAACAAATACTTATTTTTTGATCCAGTACACAATAAAGTCTTCGTAGGGAGTAATTTTTTATAATTATTTACAAAAAAACATTTCCATTAGCGCTTATGACCAAAAAAAACTTTAAACATGAATAATCATTTCAATCATGCGAAAATTTGGTTTAAAAATAGATTTTTTTTAATATAACTTTCATTTAACGAAAAACGAAGGCCTAAATGAAAAAAAGAAACAATTTAAAAGTTTCGCTTATGTCTTGACAAGGTATCAAAGCAAACTCCATATTTTTTGCTTTTAAACTAATAAAGATATATCAATAAACAATTAGCGATGTAATGGTTTTTGCGCGTGCTGGCCGACTGCCGCCGCTGCGCCGAGATTTCCTATACCCTTGTATATATGACGTCATGGTGTGGCAAATGTAGCATTTTAATTCGATTTGGGCTCCCTTATATAGGATAACAGAAACATTTTCAATGTTAAAAGGATCTCTCAGTCGAAATGAATTTGACTTTGACCCAAAAGATTGGCGCTTTTCAATAGGGCCAAGAACGACGTTTCTTTGCCCAAAGCATTAACTATCTTTTCATAATCTTTAAAAAAATACTTTAGAGAATAGAAGAATCTATATGTCCAAAGTATTTCACTCTTGACCCAACATTTCTTGATTAAAGAGACACTTTTCTTAAACCAATAGCGAATACTATTGACTCAACTAAAATTTATTTTGATCTAAGAGAAGTCAGCATCTTGGCGAGCATCGCATCGAGATGCCTCACTATGTTTGTGCCCTTACATTTGTACCAGCTCTGTTAACACTTTGGTGATTTTTATTACGTATAGCGTCAGATATGGAATGGAAACGGAAGGTATAGTAAGAATCAACCTTTAAAGGGATATGGTTGTAGAAAAAAAAAAATAAACAAAACATTCCTTATTCTAATATATTTTTTGTCGCTATTGAAATATTGTTTTAGAATATGTTTTAGCCCCATCTCACTGTACATTCATGTCGTTCGTCAATGCATCACGTCGTTATGCAAACTGTATTAAAAAAAAGAAATATCGCGAGGTAGTTGTCAATAACTCCCGGTATTTTCGAACGAATAAAAAATGTAATTTATGCAATATCCCTGCACTTTTCTGTCTATAATCGAGGATAACTTGATAGCGAGTCAAACCATCCTAATAAATTAAACACTGTATCCGATATTTCATGTTCTCCCGAATCAATACGCTGTTATGAAATTTTTTTGAGTCGCCTCGGCCGGTAAATTATGAATTCAAAAATACGATTTCGGCAATTTCATCGTTGTATCGAACGAACGCAGCAAAAATACTTTTTTGTAGTTATTAAATTTTGTTTATTTGTAAGTTTATAAAGCTTAACAAAAACAGTGCATTTTACCCATAGTAGATTAGATTGGCTATTCCTCTAAGGTTACAAAAGAATATTTAGTTTTAATCATTGTTTAATATTAGTAATTTCAATACAGTAAACAAATATACAGGGTGGGCCACTGAAAACTTACAATGGCTATAATTTTTAAACCAAAAAAGATATCAAAAAAATAAAAAATACCGTTTCTATAATATCGAGGGGGAATACATATGACTATTTTTTGAACCACCCTGACCTACCCCTTAGGTAGCACCCCTACTCACTTGAAAATCTTAAATATCAACACCCTACTTTTGGCGCCTTTTTGGAAAGCCCATGAAAAATGCTAAACGATGATCATAAAGTTTTTTAAGGTGAAATTGGAAAACTACCCCTTGCACGAAAAATTAGCTGGACATTAATGAAAAAAGTGATGTTTCAGTATAAGTTACAAATCGGGACCTAGCTAAATAAGGCAAATGAGGTATTTTTCCAACCACCCCGATAAGGAAGAATTTGCGTTATCGCAAAATTAGGCTGAACGATAAGTAAAACATCTTTGTGTTGCCTTTTTTATTATCTACATTTTTTATTTTTAGCTTCAAAATGGCAATGGTTTCAAAATGGCATTGATGATATTAGAAGTGAGAGGGTGGCACCTAGGGGTGGGTCGGGGTGGTTTGAAAAATACCTCATTTGACTAATTTAGCTGGGTCCCAAAATCACTTTTTTCATTAATGTCCATCTAATTTTTCGTGTAAGGGGTAGTTTTCCAATTTCACCCTAAAAGCTTTATGATCACCGTTTAGCATTTTTAATGGGCTTTCCAAAAAGGCGCCACAAATGGGGTGTTGCTATTTAAGATTTTCAAGTGAGTAGGGGTACCGCCTAAGGGGTAGGTCGGGGTGGTTCAAAAAATACGTCATATATATTCCCCCTTGATATTATAGAAACGGTATTTTTTATTTTTTTGATATCTTTTTTGGTTTAAGAATTATAGCCATTGTAAGTTTTCAGTGGCCCACCCTGTATTTCCAAAACTTAGAAGGCAGGGCAATAGTAACTAACTGTTCTGGCGGTCCGCCTTTTATCGGCTTAAAATCCACGGTGTTAAAAAATCGTCTAATTAATTCTTATTTTTGAATGAATTTATTTCAAACCATGCTGGATGCTCACAAAACAACCGTTTAGAGTTTTGTTTTTTTGGTTTTACAGTTGATGGGCCAAGGATTGTAAAATCTCTGAATTTTGCCTTAAATAGGTATATTCAATTCATCGACCATATAAAAAAATACACATTTATACTTTATATGGAAAGTAAATATAATTGGTCATTTTAATTACTAATAATTACTTACCTGATAATGAGTGAAGCAGGAATACGAGAATGTGCATCCATCGTGGATCCATTATTCTGAAACAAAATTAAAATAGTGTTGAATATATAATTGTAACTGTTCAATAAAGAAAATATACAAGTGAAGATAATGAGGAACGATACGAAATATGAATTGAACAAACCATCATTTAAAGTAAAACATTGAAACTATTGAAAATTCCTTCAACTTGTGTGAAGAAAATTAAGACAAGTTAATTGAAATAATATAAGAATACTATAAAAAATTTAAAAAATAAATAATAGAAGAGTTCTAAAGTAAAAATGAAATGCTTGTTGAAATATATTTTTATTGAAATAAATTCACCAACCGATGTTTGAAAGGGATTCTAAAGATATTTTGGCCTGATACTATTCGCAGCACCGACCTACTTCATACTAGAAAGGCCCCATTACATTGGATCATCCTAGAATGAGACAAAAATAACTGATATCATCAGTTATTTTTGCCTTAATGAGGAAAATGCATGTTTTTAAATAATGGTTTTAAAAAATATTTCATATAATTACAAATTGAACAAAAAAAAACTGTTGATATCGGTTAAGAAATGCCTCTAATATAAAACAATTAAATATTGTTAATTTAAATGGCCGGGCAAACGCTCTCTACCGCGCCTTACCGCTGTGACGTCACCCGCCGTTCTTCTGGTTGAGTGGAGCCAGACGCGTGTTTATTTTACACAGTTTGCTTTTAAACGCTGTTGAATCCGAGTCAAAATTTTAGTTATTTGTGTTAATTAATACATAATTAGTAATTAGTGATATGTATAAATAGTAATGGATGAGCGAAAACAGAAAAAAATGGTCCAAGGCCATGAGTAGAGATGAAAAGAAAAACGTTAAATTATCCTCTATTTTTACGATTTATTGTTCTGAAGATCATTTTGATGTAAATTCATATATTTATGTATATTGTCTTACATAGGTATATGAAATTTGAATGTACAGGGTTATTCATTATATTTTGACACCCACATACAGCCTTAACTGCAAGTTTTAGAAGAAAACATTGAATAAAAAAGTTGCATGGTTAAACAAAATTAAAATAGTGTTGAATATATAATTGTAACTGTTCAATCAAGAAAATATACAAATGAAGATAATGAGGAACGATACGAAATATGAATTGAACAAACCATCATTTAAAGTAAAACATTGAAACTATTGGAAATTCCTTGAACTTGTGTGAAGAAAATTAAGACAAGTTAATTGAAATAATATAAGAATACTATAAAAAATTTAAAAAATAAATAATAGAAGAGTTCTAAAGTAAAAATGAAATGCTTGTTGAAATATATTTTTATTGAAATAAATTCACCAACCGATGTTTGAAAGGGATTCTAAAGATATTTTGGCCTGATACTATTCGCAGCACCGACCTACTTCATACTAGAAAGACCCCATAACATTGGATCATCCTAGAATGAGAGAAAAATAACTGATATCATTCGTTATTTTTGCCTTAATGAGCAAAATGCATGTTTTTAAATAATGGTTTTAAAAAATATTTCATATAATTACAAATTGAACAAAAAAAAACTGTTGATATCGGTTAAGAAATGCCTCTAATATAAAACAATTAAATATTGTTAATTTAAATGGCCGGGCAAACGTTCTCTACCGCGCCTTGCCCCTGTAACGTCACCCGCCGTTCTTCTGGTTGAGTGGAGCCAGACGCGTGTTTATTTTACACAGTTTGCTTTTAAACGCTGTTGAATCCGAGTCAAAATTTTAGTTATTTGTGTTAATTAATACATAATTAGTAATTAGTGATATTTATAAATAGTAATGGATGAGCGAAACAGAAAAAAATTGTCCAAGGCCATGAGAAGAGATGAAAAGAAAAACGTTAAATTATCCTCTATTTTTACGATTTATTGTTGTGAAGATCATTTTGATGTAAATTCATATATTTATGTATATTGTCTTACATAGGTATATGAAATTTGAATGTACAGGGTTATATATTATATTTTGACACCCACATACAGCCTTAACTGTGGGTGTCTCAAAAAAGGTGGTCCAGAAAATTGTAGGTATTTTTCGCTTTTCAACTGTCAATATATCGTAAACATTTGAAGATAGGTATAGGATATTATACATGAAATATTTCTAGAATATCTAGAAATTTCCGAAGAATCCAAAAATATATAGGGTGTTTCACTTAAAAAAGTAACTTAATTTTGGCGTTTGCTTATGGGACACCTTGTATAATATTTTCATTACCGATAAACAATTTATTTCCTATAATTTCGTAGAAAACAATCTTTAAAAATAACAAGGGTAAGGGGAGGTCAATATATAAAAAAAAACTTTCTTTTTCACGCTATGCTCTGGAGTTATTTTTCCACGTACTAAACAAATATTTTTGTCTCTTTTCACTTCTACATAACCTACAGCATTATCTCCATACGTCTCCCTACCTGATCTGAAAAATAAGTTTATAACATTAATATTTATAACTATATAAAAGTTCGTAACAGTAGGTACCTACTTATACTTAAATATGTCTCAGTACTACAAAGAATAAATGTTACATACCTCTCTGTTTTTTTCCTCGTAATTCAGCACCAATAAATTGGGAATTTGTATTTATAAAAGCAGCCAACATAAAAGCATCGACTTTTGGCAAGTTATCTGATTGTGCTTTTACAAACCTGGAATCTGCCATTATTTAGAATTTAGAACTCATTTTCAAGCAAAATTAATGACAAATTCAGTACCTATAAAAGGATTTTTATTTTTGTTTTTAATTCTATGTTTAACACGAGTAAATGTTCAATACATAAACGCCGATTTTTTCCTCTAAAGATATTTTCGTCAAATGTATTACAGATATCACGCATTTTAATGTGGCAACACTGTGGCTTTCAGAGCTTTACCGTGTTCGATATGCCTTCACTGGCCGAATTAAAGAAAATAAGTGTTTTATGCTTTGACCGCAGAACGATTGGTGTCTTCACCTAACATAACTTGAGACGTAAGGGGAAGTCAAATCAGTCTTTAACGATAAAGATCTAATTAATCACCAATGTCCAATAAAATTTAATTTAAAAATCTTTTTTTTTATTCATTATTTAACAGAGTACACTAAATTCTAATCTGTGCCAAACCACTGGTAAAAGCCAGTATGGAAAAACGACATGTTTTTCCATTTAACAATAAAATGGAAAACTGTTTATTTTTGCAGGGAACATGCACATGTATTAGTGGAAACATTGGACAAAATGCACAGCATTAATCTCTTTCAAAATTTAAAACAACAATAAAATGTTCGTTATGTTATTGTAATTTACAGGCTAAAATGTCACGCTATTGCAACATCCATTTTAGGTCGCCTAGATATTACTAAGGATTAAAACGTAATTTTTCTAATGGCACTTTTGATGCATTATTTATATTTAATATTTTTCATTAATGCTTTAAAAAGAGTATGAATTTTATTTAATTTAAATAATAATTATAAATCTTTTATAATTTTAAATTTGATTTATGTCTCATCCATTATGTTTACATTTTTAATATTTTGCCTAGGTTTGCCTAGGGCTTTTACCTTGCCTTCTTTGTCACTTGTATAAGCTGTTTGCCAAAATCATTGCCAAACGTCTCGAACGTAAACTAGATTTCTGTCAACCAAAAGAACAGGCAGGCTTTAGGAAAGGTTATAGAACAAACGATCATCTTCAAGTAATTAAAGTCCTGATAGAAAAATCTGTGGAATATAACAGGCCCCTAGCATTGGTGTTTGTTGATTTCCAGAAATCATTTGACACAGTAGAATTAACATCAATAATAGCAGCATTGGAGCAGGGAAGAGTAGATTATAGGTATACAAGGCTTATAGAATACATATATAGTAATGCCACCACAACTGTAAAACTTCACGAAACAACAGATAAAATTGAGGTAGGCAGAGGAGTTCGACAAGGGGATACTATTTCGCCTAAAGTTTTTACAGCTGTCCTTGAATACGCAATGAAATCACTCTCTTGGGAGAATAGGGGCATAAATATCGATGGTGAAAGGTTGACACATCTATTCGCAGATAACATCGTCCTTGTCTCACATAACATCGGAGATTCAAAGCAGATGCTCGAAGAATTAGTGCAGGCCTCATTAAAAGTCGGTCTCCGGATAAATACTAGTAAAACGCAAATAATGACAAACTTAGTGCTGACACAGAACATCAGAATAGGTGACCCCGACATAAAAGAAACACATATATACAAATATCTCGGGCACAAAATATAAATCGGAAAGAACAACCAAACACACGAGATACAGCGCAGAATAGGTTTGGGTTGAGCTGCTTTTGGCAAACTGCGGGAGACCTTTAAAAGTGATATACCCGTATGCTTGAAGAGGAAAGTTTATGAACAATGCGTCTTGCCGGTAATTACATATGGAGCGGAAACTCTAACATTAACGAAAAAGTCAACAGAAAATTTAAGAGTAGCCCAGAGAGCCATGGAGAGAGCCATGCTTGGAATAACTAAAATTCCTAATAACACTATCAGAAAAAAAAACAAAATTAAAGACATAGTGGAACACGTAACTCGAATGAAATGGAGATGGGCAGGTCATGTGGCGAGAACATCTAAAGACAGGTGGACTAGAAGATTGTTAGAATGGCGACCTCGAGCAGATAAACGTAGCAAAGGCAGACCACCGACACGCTGGACCGATGATGTAAAGAGGATTGCTGGAAATTGGATGATGACGGCCCAAAATCGAGAGACATGGAGAAATATGGAGGAGGCCTACGTTCAGCAGTGAACAACGATGGCTACATGATGATGATGATGATGATGTACTTGCTCCATCAGTCTAAAATATTCAGCGTTACACTATTGCCGCATCATTTGAAGAGTGGTAGAATCTTTCTTATTTTAAATGGAACACCCGATATATTATTGCTAAAAGTAAAATGTTTTGGTGTAGTATAATGAACTAATGTTTTATTAAAGTCCCGCAACGCATCTCCCTAAGCAATTTTCTTCAATATATGTTTAAAAAAA